TAGCACCAAAAAAAAGGAGGAAAAAATCTAAAAAATATGTATAAAATCTATATGAGGGAAACTATAGGACTCTGATGAAAAAAATAAAAAAGTAAATTAATGGAGAGATATTCCATGTACATGGATAAGAAGACTCAATATTGTCAAGATTCAATATATTCCGTTTTTCCCAAATTGGCCTTTAGATTCAATGCAATTCTAAACAAAACTCAAGTGAATTCCTTGGTGGATACTGACAAGCTGACTCTAAAGATTCTGTGGAAAGGCAGAGGACCATGGATAGCCAACACAATATTGAGGAAGAACCCAGTCAGAGGAGTGATACTACCCAACTTAAGGACTTATTATACAAAATCACAGTAATCAAGACACTGTGGTATCAGAAAAAGAATAGACAAATAAATTGATGAAAGAGAACAGAGAGCCCAGAAATAGACCCACCCACATATAGTCAGTAAGGTAACTCAGTGGGCAGAGAGAGGCTTTTCAACAAACGGTGCTACAATAACTGGGCATCCACATGCCAAAAAAGAAATAAAAGAAAAAAGAAAAAAAAAGAATCTAGACACTGACTTACACTTTTCACAAAAATTCACTCAAAAAGGATCAGAGACCTAAACATTTTGAAATGGCAAAACTATGAAACTTCTAGATCATCACACAGCAAAAAGCCTAGGTGACCTTGGGCTTGGTAATGAATTTCTAGATACAAAACCAAAAGCATATTCCATGAAAAAGAAAAACTGCTAAGATGGACTTCATTCTAATTAAAAACTTCTGCTCTTTGAAACATACTGTTAAGAGATTAAAAAGACAAGCCACAGACTGGGAGAAAGTATTTGCAAAATTTATCTGATAAAGAACTTGCAAAAAAAAAAAAAACAAAAAAAAAAAAAAAAAAGAACTTGCATCCAAAATATACAAGAACTTAAAACTCAACAATAAGAAAACAGCCTCATTAAAAAGTGGGCTGAACATTTGAACAGGCACCTACCAAAGAAGATATTCAGAGCAAATAAATACATGAATACATACTCAACATAATATTTCATTAGGGAAATGCAAACTAAAACAGCTAGATACTGCTACCCCTCATTAGGATGGCCAAAATCTGAAATACTGACAACACCAAATGCTGATGAGGCAGTGGAGCAACAGGATTCTCATTCATTGCTTATTGGATCACAAAATGGTATAGCACTTTGGAAGACAATTTGGCAATTCCTTATGAGACTAACCATACTGTTACAGAGTAATTCAGTGATCACACCGCTAGGTATTTATCCAATTTGAAGACTTAGGTCTACGGACACCTAAGTCTGTGGCTTAGCGGTTGAACATCTGCCTTCAGCTCAGGGCATGATTCCCGGGGTTCTGGGATCAAGTCCTGCATTGGGATCCCTGCATGGAGCCTTCTTCTCCTTCTGCCTGTGTCTCTGCCTCTCATGAATAAATAAATAAAATCTTAAAAAAAAAAAAAAGAAAACTTATGCCTATACAAAAAACCTGAGCACAAATATTTATAGATTTATAAATGCCAAAATTAGAAACAACCAAAATGGGGAGGGAGCGTTGCTAGTTAAAGAATAGGTACAATTTTCTTGAGCCCAATAAGTAAATTACAATGTTGCTAAACAACAAGATAAACCTCACCATATTCCCAAAATAGATTAATACTTAAATATTTCCTGGTGATGTAACTTTTATTTTATTTAGATAGTCAAAACATGACCAACAAACTCATTTTTTAAAATAAAGATTTATCTATTTATTCGGGTGTGGGGGTACAAAAGGAGAGGGAGAGAGAGAATCTCTAGCAGATTCCCTCTTGAGCGTCGAGCCCGACACAGGACTCAATCCCACAATCCTGAGATCATGATCTGAGCTGAAATCAAGAATAGGACACAACTGATTGAGCCACCCAGGTGCCCCCACACTCATTTTTAAAAATGAATGCAAAGGATTTAAATTGCTTAGATCTTAAAAGTTCTCATTACAAGAGAAAAAATTTGCAGCTACATATGCTGGTGGAGGTTAACTAGACTTACTATGGTGATCATTTCATAATACATACAAGTATCAAATCATGTTGTACATGTGAAACTAATATAATCTTAAATATCCATTATATCTCAATAAAAAAACAAGAAAGGCATTGTTTTTAGTTTTTAAAATGAATTAAAATTTTGAGATTAAACTTTCATGTTCAAGTTATATTATTTTTAGTGTATTATACATATCTACCCAAAGGAGACTATAGCTTTCAATATTTAATTATGAACACATTAATTTTTGTGCTTAAAATTCACAAGGAGGTCCATGTTTATAAGTAATACTACATAATACCATGAACTTAAAAGATAGCTATTCTTTGTAACTTTAAAAATGCATAATACCAAATAATGAGTCTTTACTTGTTTAGCCTGAGAAGTCCTTGTGAGGTTATTATCTTTTTATGTTCATCATGACATAACAATTCCTTAAGCAATACAAGAACAGATATTATAAAGTATGGGAGGAGAGCCACATGTACTGTGTATTCATTCTGTACTTTATAATTTCTTGAAACTGAAAGGCAGAAACCTAGCCATACATAAGATCAGATCATAACTAGAGTCTATTTTTCCAATGTAGATAATACTGACTTTAAACCTAACAGATTATTAAATGTAAAAGAAAAAAATCTGAAATTTCAACCAAATAGACATGATTTTACCTATTTTTTATTTCTATCACAAAACATTAGGTTATATATAATAAATCATTCCTTTGAATTCTTTAATGATTTTATGGACTCTATCATTCAAACTTCCTTTTCATCGAAGACAAGTCTACCATCTTACATATGACTAATAATAAAGGAAAATTAGCACCAAAAGACTTAGGCTGAATCCATCATACTGCAAAAGTAAACAAACAAACAAACCAAAACCCCCTACACCAGACTAAATCCTCTTTGAATTCCTCAAGTAATTCACATTTCTTTTTAATGTGGAAGCTCACTGAACTTTTCACTTCTAACTACATAAGGAAGACTGATACATACGTTTATTTTAGTGGGAAGTAGTAAATACAAGAAACCTGAAAAATACTATTTTGCCCCCAATTCAATTCATTCCTATTCTGTAGCCATAAAGATATTGTGATTGAAATGAATACCTGAAACACTGAGCATTTATTCAAATAAAATCTAAAATAAATAATTTGATCTTGAAATCATGTAGACGTTTTGAAAATCATAATTTTGCATTGTTTCCTATGTGACACGGTTCTGCGCCTAGTCCTCCCCACTCTTTCACACAACACCGCTTTGATAAATAAAATTCACTTAAAAAATGGCACAAAGACAAACTTTTCTGATATGACTGAATTGGTATTTTTTAGAAAGTGCTAATCAAGCTTAATTTAAAAAACATGATTAAGTCTTCACTACCTTGTTTTGTACTGTACTCTTCACAATCAAAATGTCATGAATTAAAGTAACATTACTTTGCTGTCTTCTTTTCTCATTCTATTATTCCACAGATCCTGAAGAGTTTTTCTACTTGTTTACATAGCTATTCTATTTCAAAGCACCTTTTAGTCCTCAAGAAATTTGCATGACTCAGATGGTTCATATGAAAACATGAGATTTCCCTGAAATTGGGACAGGCCATTACCTTTCTCGTGATGCCTACATCAACTTGAAGGAAACAGAGAGGAAAATTCTACAATAGCTCTATAATAAATCCAATTTTTGAGAGCGATTATATAGATGTTAAATCTAATTAAAAGACATGTATACTAGATTCTGTGAAAACTGTAATTACACACGTGAACTAAGTGAAAAATAGATCAAGCTAGCTTTTAAAATATATAGGTATATGGAATCTGATAAAGATAAAAATGTTGAGTTGTGCAGAAAGAGTTTAGTTATAGGTGGAATACAGGTTTAGGAATGATGTAACTTCCAACTCTAGAGCAAAAAAGTGTTCACATATATTCAGGAAAACGATGTGAAACACCAAAAACCTGAAGGAGATTTTTTTTTTATGGGGGACATCTGCTAATATTTGTAAGATAAACCTATTGTCCACATTGAAATTAGCACCTAAAATTTGTTTTCATGATTTAGGGGAACCAACTAGAATTAAGACACTATGATCACGATCTCACAGAAGTGTGTTTCAGAATTTTTAACCTGGCTTGTAGCAAAGAGCGGTCTGTGGCCCTAAGAATAAAAGGCAAAAAGAAAGAAAACTCTGTGATTGTTTGAGGATAAGAGATCACTTCATAATCCATGAAAGGAGATGACATTTTTAACAAGACAAAGGTGAGACGTGCAAGAGAAAATAGAAGTATAGATAAAGACCAATTCAGGAAATGAATCATACAGTATTAAAAGTTCCAGAAAAAAATTAATGGAAGGCAAGAAATATCAAATACATAGTAGGAAAATTTCCAGAGCTGGAGAGATTGTCATTTGAAAAGGCTTATCAAGGGTTGTGCAGAAGTATGAAAATGCTCTTGCCCAGTCATGAAATTCAGAATTAGGTCATGCATGGAAAGAGTGAGCCAGGGGAATCACTGTTTTCCATTATGAACTCTGGTATCTTTTTTATTTTGGAGAGATATTTAATTATAATAAACATTGAATTCAAAGTAATATCATTTATTTTTATATTCAGTATGTGGGCAATATTTATAATTATAGTTAATAATTATAGCTAAATATAATTATGTATCTAAAACATTATATATAGCTCTTGAAAACTGAGTATATTTACAACTAAATAAAGTCTCAATTTAAGTGCTTTTGAAGTTACACCATTTACGCTAAAATTTTTCAGCAAACAAAATTAAATAAAGTTAATGTCACAATCACACTGTTTGACTTACATTCAGGCCTTGCCAAAACTTGCCAAAACTGTGAAACCACTGCATGAATATATGACTGTAGAAAAATGCATTTAAACCACCAGAAATACAGCCTGCAGGACTAATAAAGTGCACATAATTACCTGCTGCGGGATCTGTGACTGCTTGGCTGGTGATGCCAGATGGTGGCTCCTGAAGCTGGTAAGTGGCATTTGTGGACGGTGTCGTTGGGCTGGTGTTACTGCTCGTCATGTAATGGGCTGGATACGGTGAGCTGTTATAATACTGTGCGTACTGACCCTGGCCAAAACTGGGATAAGATGGATAGTCCTACCAAATCAAACCACACAAAAATTATGTCAGAATACTGCTGCTTATTTCTTACTTTTCAAATATAACTATATTTGGGTTTGTGTGTCTTCTCCGAATTTACAAAGGAGCATACAAGTACCCATTGACTGAAGTGCCTACTTGCAAACAAATTTTACATAAGATCAGATACATTCTTCCTACCTTTTCTATTCCATGATGCATTATTAGGTAAAATTAAATGAATCTGAAAAGCAAAGGCTCACCATAGAAGACTGCTGAAGAGATTTTTAAAAGAAAAAATATATTTTATAAGGCTTAGGTAAGCAATCACTCCTAGTAGTACACTGTAAACAGATCTAAGAAAATCATCTGTTGCATTTAAAAAAAAAATTCTGAAGTTAAAGTGGCTTTTAAAATTACCTGCTGTGAACTGTTAAATCCAGAGGAATTTGTGAGTGAATTATTTCCTGTATATAATCCTGATGATGTTGTAAAACTGCTACCTAAAAGAAAGTGAAAAGAAATATGGTTGACTAAACTATACAGAATAATGTACCTGTAAGAAAGCCTTATTTAGATAAAACAGAGTTGAAGTTCATTGCAAATGCATTTGTTTTATCTTTAAAACCAGAATCCACTGCCATGACAAAAACTGTGTTTTCTTAAAATAGTTGACATTTTTAGTTTCACCATATTGCAAAGGATTAAAGAGTAAAGAAATTTAAATTTCCACGGGTGTAACTCATAAAATTATGGGCAAAATCATACATTTGTGCAAACATTAGACACTATTTCAATTTGGAGAATGAACCAGGATTTTTTCATAGCTTTACATTAAATATGCTTAACGTAAAATGATGGGATCTGATGAAATGATCTTTAAAGTTCTTGCAAGCTCAAAAACTACAATGATATTTTCAAATGCTTTCAAAATTGTGCTTGTCATTATAATGGCCCACTGAAAAAGCTGATTATTTCATTTCCCAGAAGAATAAATGGCAGCCCTTGAAGTACTTGACAAAACAAGGGCCAAAGAGGAACATGATTGATATATTGTTTTATATATTACATGTGCTCTCTAGGTAACATTCTATTTGTGGAATGTCTACATGTGTTCAGCAATAAACAGTAGTCATTGTGCAGGATACAAACATAAAAGCAAATTTCAGTTCCCACCCTGGTTTTATTTACTTACTGTTAAGCTATGTAAAGCAGTTTTTTTTTTTTTTTTTTAAAGAGAGAGAGAGAGGAAAAGGAATGAACATATGAGTGGCAGGGAAGAGGAGGATCTCAAGCAGGCTCCACACCTAGTGCTGAGTCTGACTCAGGGCTCAGTCCCATTACCCTGAGGTCATAATCTGAGCTGAAATCAAGAGTCTGACACTTAACCAACTGAGCCACTCTGGTGCCTGAATAATATACTATTTTTGATAATCATATTAGCAAAGATTTTTTAAAAGATCAGGGATTGGCAAATGTGCAAACAGTGTCATTCATATGCTACAAAGTGGGAATTTAAATAAGCACAACCTTTCCGGTTGGGCTATTTGGTCAATGATTAAATAACTTTCAGCCAGCAATTTTATTATCAGACATTTACTCTAAGAAAAAAATACATGGTTTTATATGAAGAGACTGTTAGCAAAGATGTTCTTCAGTGTCATTTCTAATAACAAAACATAGAAAGCATTCCCAAGCCCTTAATGTGTGTTATTCAGAAAATGGAACACAATGAAGACATTGAAATGGTATTATAATGATGTTTAATTACATGGAAAATTTTTTCATATTATTTCACTAAAGTAAAAATGAAAACAAGGAAAATGTTTTGGTGATTTTATTTGAAATATTTTTTGAAAGCATAAGACGTTTTTAAAAAGCACAAAAATCTCAGAAACATTATCTATGGAAGGGCACAACCACTGGTCACATAATATTCATGAAGTCAAGACATTTTAAAACTGTCTACTCAGAAGCCGTGTTGCTTCTATAAACAGAGAAACCTTTTTTTTTTAATTAAAATTTTATGGCAAATGAATGATATAGGCAATAAATGTGTTGGCCATTAGGGAGAAAGTCTTTATAGTGTGAATTAGCTATTCACACTAGAGGCCTTCAAGTATGATGTGGTAGTTAATACATGCCAATTATTTATTTGCTGCTCAACATTTAAGTATGATGTTAAGAGTCAGAAAACAGGGTTTCCAGTCATCACTTAGGAGCTGTTTGGACTTGGGACAAATCATCTAACCACTCTAAGATCCAAGTTCTCTACCTGGGAAAAGTACTTCGTAAGGTTCTTCTCCAGATCAAATGAGATCATGTTTTAGAAAGCACAATGCCCAATCCATAATACTACACAAATGTTAGGAACTGTTATTGTTTATCTCAGTAAACATTTCTAAAATTCTCCACTACATTAATGTGTCTTTTCTTTTTTACTTTCCCAAACTAGATAAATATGACTTAATCTCTTTGCATATCTAAAATTCTTTTCCTACTTATCAAACATCTCCGAACTTTGAAAACCTGATCCAAGGCTTTGTTATTTTTATTAAAGGAAAATATTTCCTAAGCTAGTTTCAAATTTAGTTATCACAGACTCATATTTGAGGTTTCTTTATTTGTGCCTTTCAGGAATACCAGTTGTCCAAAGTTCCCATAACACCCATCACAGATAAGCAGAGAGCTCTCACACTCCTAATACTTACTCTGCCATGAAACCTGGAGCCTCAGACAAACTTCCCATATTACTGTCATTAGCATGTGGCAATCACAAACTTTTAAACATATATTAAATACTTAAATAATTAAATACCACACAAATAATAACATAATTATCATGGTGATAATTACATGGGGATAAAAAGATGACTAAGACATAGTTTGGGACCTCACAGGACTTATCAGGATGACATCAGATTTTTTGTTTGTTTGTTTGTTTTTGTTAAGCACTGGATTTCATGGGCATGTGACTCACTCTGTATTTATCAGTGAACATTTAATTGATATGTGTAAAGCAATCTTACAATGAGCATTTCAAACATGCCTTATAAAATAAAATTTAAATTTCTTTTGGATAAGAGTGTGACTATCAATACTTTTTTAAACTTTATTACATACATTTAATAGGAAACATTACTTTGGGTTATGGCTTGTTATTTTCATTTAAACTGCACATTTCTAGGTTATGACTTGCTACTTTCATTTATACTACACATTTTTGAACAATAAATACTGACCTCAATAATCCCTATCCACCAAGAAAATGAGTAAGATATAGAAAATATATTTTAAAAATGGGTGTTTTCATTCCATAAGTTATTCCCTGGAACACAGTAGAAAAGGCCATGGAAGCTATATTGGCACATATAGGCCACTGAGGTATGACCAAGTAAATCACAGTTCAGTACTTGAAATGGTACCCAAGTGACTTTCCAGACTTAATGCTACTTTTAAGACTGTACATTAGCTGGAATTCAACATAAGTTATATTCATTTACTGGCTGACTGCAGGCCGAGATTCCATTCCATTTAGTATGCTGAAGCAGGCTTTAATGGCACTCCTGTGGCCTAGGAGACTTAATGCAACTTCCAAAAGGGTCTAACTTACTTCAGCGAGAGGTGTACATACTAGAGAATCAGGCTCAGGCAATATTACTTTTGCACCACCAGAATCGGATCTGTAGGGCCATCCCCACCTGCTTTCACGTAGGGCTCAAGCAAAGAAGGCTGCTCTCAGTCCAGGCCACTGGCACTGGATTTCTGCAACAGCCTCCTTTACTGGTTTCCTGCCCACTTTCTGGCCCTCTCCAGCTCATTTTCCATAAAGGTAGGATACTTTCTCTAATGTGCATATCTGATCTTCTCACTCCCCTGTTTAAAAAAAGTAACTGTTAGTGGCTTCCTCTCGCCCTCAGGATAAAATTCAAACTCCTTACCAGAGCATATTTATTAGACCCTGGTCTGGCTCCAGTTTATCTTTTGGACTTCTTTGGTTTCTTCCCAATAACCTCAACCCAACCCACCCAGATACACATTCCAGCCTAACTTCACACAAATGAAGCAACATGTGGTTCTCTTAAGGCTACTCTTTGCACCTCTTACTTCCTCCCCATTGTATCCTGACTAATCTCTAATCAACTTCATAACTCAGCATGGACTAGAAACCTTTCTTCAGAAAAAACTTCCTTAAATTCCCCTCTTCTCTATTTTCTTAGGCCTGGATTACTTAATCGCCTCTCTCTCCCTCTCCAATGTATATATGGTTTTATACAAATTTATATATATATGCACACAAATTTATATAAATTTATATAATATGTACACAAATGTATGTATATGGGTTCATATAAACCCATAACTACTTATCAGTATTTTAAGCTAATTAGTACTAATTAATTAGCAAATTAATAATTAAATACTATTTACATTTTTAAAAATATTTGTGAAAGAGCTTGTGCTTGCATGAGCAGGGGGGAGGGGCAGACTCCCCAGTGAGCCCCATGGGGGTTCAATCTCAGGGCCCTGAGATCATGACCTGAGCTGAAATCAAGAGTCAGACACTTCATGAGCCACCCAGGCATCCCAAATACTAATCACATTTAAACTCATTCTTTCCCTATTAAATAGGCTACAAAGAAACCTTAGAACTTATATAATTGGACATTTGTAGTCAACTCATACAAACATCCCCAGAATACAAAACACAGTAACACTAAAGAGAGACAATGCCTACCGAGCACAAACTATGTGTTAGGAGTGTGCTCATCTTTTACATGCTTTACCTAAACCCCACAACAATTGGATATGATAAGGAATATTAATATTCCAATTTTGCAAATAAGGAAACAGAGGTCAAGATAATACAGCTTCAGGGCACCTGGGTGGCTCAGTGGTTGAGCGTCTGCCTTGGGCTCAGGGTGTGATCCTGGGAGAGTCCAGCATGGAGCTCCCCGCAGGGAGCCTGCTTCTCCTCTGCCTCTTTGTGTCTCTTATGAACAAATAAACACAATCTTTAAAAAAAACAACAACAACACATATCCAACATATGGCTATTTGCCAGGCACATTCACAAAGTGTTTGTTAAAAGGCACATATCTAGGCCCCTCATTAGACACAGGAATCCCCACCTCACTGAGGTAGAAGAGGGTTTGAACCTGAAAATCCACAGGTTTATCCAACACCTAAGTACCTGATTGTTAGCACTACTATGTTTTGTGCCAATTCAGTAGGTGTTTTAGCAATTGCTTCAGAAACCTGTAACTAGTACAGGCTTTCATTTTCTCTAAGAAAGTCATCACCATTGCTAAGCATTTGCAGAATGGAAGTGCCACAGAGACCATTTGGGGCACCTTTGGCTCTTGCACTGTGTGAAAGCTTGTAAAGGGAGGAGAAGGTCCCACCGTGATAGCTGATCCGGTGCTCAGTTGGTGCCAATCCCACCAGATGAACCTCGCCAGTTCAGAACACCACAAAGCAAAGGCAAAAGGGCAACCACAAC